TTGGCAGAGATGATGGGCGGCAGGGAGCCAAAATGTTCAATAATACCACTGAAGCACAGTTGAATACCTGTTTCAATTAGGTTGACTGCACCTATTTAGTTTTCCAGGTAAATAAAATCATATAAAAGTTCATTACTCTTGCTTTTGTGTTCAATGTCAGGCTATTATTTGCAAAAAGAAATTCAGCCAACAATTTTCTGCTTGAAAGCTTCACTTCATAGCTCTGCAAATGCACAAACCCGGCCACAGCCAACAGGGCGCTGCTCAGTGTTCCATCCTGACAGGTACAGGAGATTTGCATCAGCTGTGCCTAACTGTTTGAGAGGAAACCACAGAGCGCCTGTGCCTTACTAGATCGGTTTCATAAAAACCAAGTATAGATCACCAGTGGCTACTAACATAAGATTAAGTTTGTGGTGCAACATTGACTCAATGTCCCACAAGATCTTCAAGTGTACCGTTTGCCTCTTTCAAAAATGCGCAGCAAAGCGTTTTACAATCAGAGGCACCAAAATCTCTCTGTTCAGAGGCATGTTATGACATAGGAGTCCAGCCACCTTCTTCATAAATTTAATCAATTTCCAAAGGGGAAAAAGACGTGTCATTGGTGGGTAGAAGGAAACTTCAGCAATGTGGGGAGAACACCTAACACTATGCATGCTGGCGGCAGAGGTCTTAAATTAAATCAAAATCCTGAGGTACAAGGCAGCAGTGGTCACCATCATGCAACTATGCTGCTACGGAAATCAATATGAAAAGAAAATTAAACTACCTAGATCTTGTGGACCAAGGTAAATTCAAGAAGAGCAGCTCTGAACACAAAATATCTGTATCTTCCAGATGTTAAACACTATCCAGTGTGCGAAGAGTGTGATGTCAACGTTCAAACCTCCTACCATTCAATTAGCATAACAACATATAGACTGACTGCCCTCAAATCACTGTGGTAAAACTACCATCCAGGCCAGCATAAAGAAACTTCTCCAGGTCAGGTGTTTATTAGCTGAAGGAAGCATCACTGTCAGCTTGGGTACTGTACCACAACCATATGCCAAGGTATAACAGTATAACATGAATCGTACCACCCAAGACGCACTACTGCTATGGGTGCATAGTAGAACGATTACCTATACCAAGAATAGCACCCCTTCGATGACTCTGCTGCCGCACAGTGAAACCCCTTGGAGAACCTGTGCAACATGGTCCTTTCCAGCAGAGCCAAGAGAAAGCAACTGCACAAAGAAGTCAGTGGCAGTGAAAAGGTCTAGACTTTGCACAGCTATGGGTCACTAATTCAATTAGATTTCAAAGACAGAGGTTTCCCACTTTACACTTCTTAACTTCAATACTTCCTATTCCTACCCTCCCCCATGCATGCCAAGAAGTAATAAAACAACCCCTCCTGCAACTTCACACTTCAGTGGACACAGAAACAATGGCCATGGGTGGCTTCACATAATGACTCACTGCATGGGGCTATCTAACAGCAGTCATTAGGAAAGCCCCACCAGTGGCTTGACAAACGGCTTTGTTTTCATACTGCTCAATTACTCGAAAAATAACACCCCTCCCCAACCTCATCACCACCAACACCTGATTTATTTGAGCCACCATGTGGGACTGTTTCCTCAAAGAATCTTCTGCCTTTGATCTGACACCAGGACCATGTCTGCAAGAGCCCTGTCCTACCGTCTGGTGACAGTCAGTACAGATACACTTGGCTTCCCTCACTCTTTCTGCTTTTACTAAGGAGGATGTCAGCATGGACTTCAAACAGGAATGAATAATTTCACTGATTACATGATTTCTAACAGCACAGTAGTAGATTCCTCCTTAAACATGTAAACAATTCTCCTAAAGTTAAATCAGAGATTTTATTTTCATGAACATAAGCTTTGGAACACGTTTTATCCCTTCTACCGAATGAGATAAACATCTTTCTACTATTGGAAATGCATTCTTATAATAAAAAGCTAGTGGAAGGAGCTATAGGGCAGAAATATGTCTCATTTTTCTGCAAGGCCTGACTCAGACCTCTGGCCAGCCGACCATAGTGATTCCAGACTTTGGCAGCACTTTCCTGGACTGCACTCTGCTCTGACGCCATATTCCCAAGTTTTACTACCTACTTTTGGCATTGAGCTTAAGAATCGTCAATAAGCAGCTAACTATCTGGCTGTACTTTAACTTTGTCTTCCAAAAATAAATCTTGAAATTGATGAGGTTTTATAACCACAGGCACGGACACATGACCAGAGGGTGATTTAAAAAAAAAACAACTCTCATCTGCCCACATGTACCAGAGTGCCATCTTTCAATATCGGAACAAGTAATAGGTTTATTCCATGCTGAAAAAAAGAAGAAAGAAAACAACGTTTTGGCCGTGGAGCCTTCTTCAGGTGTGAGGGCTCACACCTGAAGAAGGCTCCATGGCCAAAACGTTGTGTTTTCTTTCTTCTTTTCTTCAGCATGGAATAAACCTATTACTTGTTCCTTTGCAGCCTACGCATGCTGACGTAGCCACCCACCTGAATCTTTCAATATCTCTACACATATTCTTTCAGTGTATAGACTGAAAAGTCTAGATTCATGTTATTTTAAGAACAATGCAAAATAAGATGTACTGTAATATTGTTATACATGCACTCCTCTCTAATATTTTCATAAGGTGATTCTCAGTGGCAGCAATGGTTTACAGAGATCTGGAGTCACTTGTGTTCTTCAATTCTGGATGTCTGAGAGATCAAGAAATAGAGAAGGAAGGAGGTGGTCTTTAAATTTAGCATGATGCGAATCTCTGTTACTACTAAGTGATAATTGTCTCTGCACAAGGCTTTCAGAGTCATGCTTCCATTTTTGCTATTTCTAGTTAAAGCTTTTACTCATTTTTTTTTTTACCTTTACCAGTCTCTTATCTTTTCATGTGATATCCTTGGCAGCCATTCCTGGGCATGTATGAAACCTTCCAGGGACTATCAGGAAAATGTGTTCCTCCAACGCATCCTATCCCAGAGCCTCGTGAAATTGTCAACATCCCTCAGCCCTATACTGGCCTATTTAACTGTGCTCCAGCTTCCCATGAAATGTTTATAGCTCAGTAGGGCAAGAGGAACATCATTAGCTGAGCTCCCCAAGCCTCCAGGATCTGGCATCCATATAAAGGCAGTATTCTCCTGCTCCGATTATCAGTTTGGATCACGATGAAGCTGGGATTTTTCTGCCCGCTCTCCACACCATGAGACGAAACATAATCCAATGTTCTGGAGTTTCACAGAGGGGGCCAGGAACTCTCAACCCCACCACATCAAAACCAGCAATGGATTCTGCTTTCACCCGCTTTGAATCCAACTTAGGATGTCTTATGACTGTAATTTGGCAATTGCATAAACAATACACCACAATATTATATACAGATACCACAACGGTATAATGTATTATTATTATTCAACTAGTATAAATACCATAAATACAGAATCAGGTTTATAACAGAAAGTTAAGCATGTATTGTTGGTAAGCCTGCACATGGCGGACATACAGGTGTGTGGGAGCTGATCTCAGGTTCTGCTCTAGAAACCCCATGTGTTCTCTGGCCAAAGCATTAGAGACCCTGACTCAGTAATATGTGACCCCATTAGCAGCAGGAGCCACTTGCAAGGCACGTGGTAAGTATTCCACAAGGCTCTGAAATATCTGAAGCACTATCGCCTCCTGTCCTTCTAGCACAGGTGATTTCAGTCAATGAGGGTAACTGATTAGGACTGAACTTCCCCTTCCTCCACTACCATAGTTTAACATGGATGTCTTGGAAGTGTAGATGGTGGACGTCTATGTCATGCTTCAAAAGCGAATGATACACTGCGAGTTAAATTGAGATGCCAGTGAGAGTTAAAGAGAAAGAGCATCTGATTCACTGAGACTCTAGCATCCACTGTTTTCCCTCTACTCCAAAACATCTACAAGCACCATGCACATTTCCAAAAAGGCAGCACATAGCTATGAGAGCCTCAACTTTAGCACGCTGTATTGACTAGAATTGATCCAGAACACAGACCTATAGTGTACAAGTGGCCATGTTTTATTAGCAGTTCATATGACACTGATGTAACTGTCAAGAAGGCTTTATTGCCCAGTTTAAGTTTCTTCTTTAATATACTGAGTGGTATTAAATACGAAACAAAAGCTCTTAGTTCCAATACTCATTTGTTGTGTTTTTAACTGCCTCTCAGTATATGTTGTTTTTACTTATTCACATCTGTTGTATAGTAGCTATTTGCGGCAGCAGGCAAGATTTTTTTAAACTGCGAATGAAACATAAAAAGCAAACCACAAGGCCACACAGCCTCCTGAATCCGTGACAAACTCCTGCAAAGAATTAGAGCCCCTTGATTCCCGGAACACTCTAGAAATGCTGATCATCTCCATAAGGCCAGACCCTCTCCTCAGAGAGGGTACTGGCATAATACAGGACTGTGTCATCACACAGTATAACCCCACCAGTCCAGTACTGTTACCATAGTCTTTATGTCGAAAGCCATTTGTTACTTATTATCCCCACTAGTTGTGCAGCAGTGCTATATCCTATCCAAGGCTCATAAAATGAAACAGTCTAAAAACGTTTCTGTTTCTATGCGATTGGTCTTCGATCACATTTTTCACACTTGGATCACCATGCAAATTAACACTGAGAAAAGCTGTCAATGATTCGCAACATGCTTTTGACATTTCTGTACCAAAAAAAAAGCTTTGACTGCTATGCCCAACTGGAAGCAGGGGCGTGATAGGTGGAAAGACCTCCTCTTGTTTACAGCGTCTTTAATGATATGAAAGATTGCTACATTGTTACATTGTAAATGACTACATTCCTTACATTGAGCAAGCAATTATCTTTCCTTTGGGTATAATGCCATTTTACCCCACAACTTCAACTAAAGACTCCTAATCTCCTAGCATTTAGAGTATGTAGCTCCCGGCATAAGACAGGCTGGTTAGCAGCGTGGTACCTGTGTGTTGGTCAGTGAGGAGCTGGGGGGGCACATTGCCAGTGAAATCTGCTGCTCTGTCCCGCACATCCTGGTCCTCATCCTGCAGCAGAGTGAAAAGGCTCTTCCAGAGACATACTGTGTCACTCAGACCTGCAAAGCACAAAAAGTTAAGACTCCCATCCTCAGGATAATATTGCATATTCTCACTGTAATGCTTAACATCAGATAAAAACATCTGTTCATTGCAAAAACAGAGGGCAGCCACAAGGCCTGCTTTCTTTAGCTTCATGCAATGTATTTTGGATTAAAAATGGATTAGAAATTAGTGATGCAATCTGAGTACATTACACAAAAGCACTGCTGAATTGAACACAATTGACCAAGAAAGAAAACCTGCATTTTGTCATAGACAGATCTAGCCATGGCAGCTGATGCCATGAGAAAGAGGATCAGCTCTGGGTGGGAGCCGTGCCCAAGTGTTTGTCTGTATCAGAGCTGGCATGAGGGGGGTGACAGGGTCTGGCATGAGGGTGCCACAGCTCACCGAGGGGCAGGACGGCGCTGGCTAGCAGGCAAGGCGTGGCGTTGACTAGGACCTCCGCAGCTGTTAGCTTGACCTCTCCTGGCCTCTCGTCTCCACAGCACTGGCTCACTAACGCCACCCACGTCCTCATCTCCAGCTGCATGGACTTGCTCAGACCCTGCCACAGAATCTTGATTCAAATCCTTTCCATAACAAATCTCAATCAGAAATTAACTAAAGCACAAAGATATGTCTTTCAGTCATCATTAACTATTGTGCATCTGGTGCATTATTTAGCTTAAAACATGCATTACTTGAAAACCCAAGTTGTAATATGTAAGCATGAGGAAGAGGAAATATTTGACCCTGTATGAAGTATTCTCACAGAAGTGAAGATGATCACTAAGAGAAAGAGTATGAGACATGTCTGTTTTCAGGAAATCGCATTTTTCTGCTGCTGCTGTCTAGGTTCCCCAAGCCCCATGCATGGTAAAACTCTTTCAGTAGTCTCACAGGTTTACACATAACTTCAATACTGTCTGTGCACATAAATGTGCATTTTAGAGTCTTCCTGATGCTTTCTTCCATTATTTATCTAAGCACATGTTTTCAATCTTCTCAGTACTTTTGAGAACTGAGAACAGGAAAAGGTTTCTATTTTTGTGTCCTCTCAGATGCTGTGTGATTTTGCTGAGGTTTATATCATCTTCCACATCTTCTCATCCATATGATTCATATTAAAATTTGTTTTAAATTTCTGTTATTCCAGTCTTTAAAAGCCCTGTGGTGCAATTTATCAGTGTTTTTCTCACTCTTACCATCAGATGAAGTCTCTGAAAGCAGGCTCAGTATCTCAACCAGAGTTATTAATTAAGCTGTTACACTAACAAGAGAATTACTGTTAGAATCCGATACATCTAATGCAGTTTGTAGACATAAGCTTTGCACACCCCCCCCCTCTTTGTCTCTCTGGCTGTCCTGGCTTTCTGTCAGGGTTAACACATGCTAATAATCAACACCAAAATAAAACTCTTCAGTGTCACAAGTTTCAAAGCCCTGATACCAAAGAGCACATTCATTTAACATGAAGCAGCTTTCGGAGGAGATCTCGCATGTCTTTTTAATAAGGCTGAATCAGAGATGCTGATAGAAACCCAAATCCCCGTGGACAGGAACTCCTTTCCCCTGCACAGACAACCAGCAGTAAAAACATCTCTGTCCGTCTGTTAGTCTGCGGAGACCCTCTGATCTCAACTTATACCTCCATTAGGGCAGAAGACAGAGGGTCTTGTCCGCCAACTTGCAAACCCACTATTATTGATCACATAAGGGATCCGTCTTACCTGGGAGCTCTTCTCAACAAAATGGACAACAAAATTGGAGACCAGGGTGAGAGCGGCGCAATGATTCTCCACCCTGAAACACATAACATACGGCCTTCAACTAGGGGGACTGAGTGTAAGCCCAATTGATAAGCAGTAAGCACCTTGGTCTCTGTCACCTTCTGTCAGCACTTTCACTCACTTCATTTTCCTGGGGAAGTGAAAGCGTTTTGGAGACATCAGCTCTAGTAGCCCGTGCCTGCATGTTTCAACATACCAAGGATGACAGAACATGTGTCAAGTGCCTGGGGAACAGGTGGGAAAGATTATTTTCCAGGTTTACCAAGTTCCACGAAACAGGAGATAGTTCCATATCTGATTCGGCAAATAAAAATGAAACTCTGAAGCTTTCGCATAGCTGTGCACTTTAATCTTAACAATTTCCGTTTAAAGTAAGAACCTATTTTTTTCTCTTTTATTCCCACAATAAATTCTAAGTCCAGGCGAGTCTCCAGCCTCATCCATCAGTCTGCAAGCACCACTTTGTTTTTATACTGAATAGTTTCAATTTCAAAACTGCATTATTATGTACTGTAGGTTTAACTGTCCCTTCCACTCCACACACACTTCAGAGCACAATGTCTCCAAGCCTAAATGGCCAATACCTTTTCAAAAGCCTTACTACTTGGTTATACCAACTCTGACTGGAAATAAGTAAATATTTTATGCTATTCTAAGACTGTCAGTTAGACTGAGATCAGATTTTTTTCATATGAAAAAAATAGTGCTCTTAAAACATTGCCTATTTCTAGTATCATCCAAGCAACACAGCAGTACAGCAATTACACCTTGTTCTGAAGAACTGCATTAATTAACATCTCTCAAGTAATTGTGTTCTTGGTTTAGGATGAAGTAGATCAAATGAATGTGAGGTAGATGAATAGTAGCTAGAATTTGAATGCATTTGTTTTTAAATCAAGCATCAAGATTCTGGAGTTAAAACACCTTGAACTGGAACATTAGACATATAATATATATTATATAATATATATTACAGTACAGGTCTATTAGTCTCTGCTGTGATCTTCTATGTCAGGTTCTCTGTCCACCCTCCCAGCCACTGAGTCTGAGTCACTGAGTATTCAAAACCCAGGCTGCCTAAAATTAATATCTCTGCTTCCACTGTCATGCAGAGAGTCAGGGTCTCTCAAAGAAAATGTGCCCTGCACTGAGTAAACATCAGCAGATGATAATCCACCATTGCTGGTATTAAAGAACAATGAGAGGAAAAGGGAGGAGTATGAAATTCAATATTGAGAAAACAGAGGATCATGCGCTAAGTGTGTCCTATAGCCAAACTCCATTCCACCTCCTGATTTCATTCCCACCTCTTAAGACCCTCAGTATGTATCGCTCAGCAACTTTCAGGCTCCAGATCTAAACAAACAAAGCAACTCATCATCTAGTCAGATGCTTTCACGCCATCTCATTCTGCTGTCAGCTCTTTGTTTAATTTCTTCAGATTTACTTGTTGCCAGGTGCATCTGATGGATTGTTTTTAAACTTCACTGATCGGACAATAACCGCATGCCCTCAGATCTTAGCTTAAGAGAAACACAATCTTTGTCCACAGCCTCCCTTTTCTAATTGTAGACAAAGCCTAAGCCGGATATAAATCGGGGCATGTTTTCTTTCTGTGATATACGCAGGTTAGGGTTTCCTCATCACAGCATGACTGATGCGGTTTTCTACCCAACTAACAGGTCTAATCTAACCAGGCTTGTGATCACAGCCCCTCTCTGGATCGGTTTCTCCACATTAAGGTGCTTGTTAAGTTGGGTCTTTTAAACAGGACTCAGTGCTCACTCTGCTTCCCTTCTTTCAAAACCACACAAACATGACCCTAAGAAACGTTTTTTCCTGGGTTGCTTTGTTTTTTTAGACTAGTTACTAATACAGTCTCCTTTGATATAACGAGAAGCTAAACAAATATGCCCCAACAAAAAAGAAGCTCTTGCTGGCTGTCTTTAGTGAGAGCTACAAACAAATGTGCCTCAGGCTGGAGCACCGGCATCTTACACGATGTTTCGAAAGGAGCTCACTTTACAATTTTAAAAGCGGGTTACACATTTAAGAAACTCACATGAACATAACCCCCCAACCCTGCCTTAAACCAGCTGTATAGAACAGTGATTTTCATTTTTCATTTTGTGGCATGTGGTTAAAAATGGGTGAAGTGGCCACACATAGTACTTTACACTTTTTCAGGCAAATCAGTGATGACTAAGAGGGCAGGGATGATGGAGGGAACTCTCTGGAGATGGAAACAGATTATGCACAGATCAGTGTGGACTCGGATACCCTATAGCCACTGGCACACCCAAGGCAAGAGGGTTTTGTATGATCACAAACAAGATGATTTCCACAGGTAGTTTTGTTGAGCTGAATGAGAACTAACATTCAGATCTTGACAACCTATCTGGTACTGGCCCAGTAATACAGTAAGTGGGCCAATGGGCAGGGTTAACAATTCTCAGCAACACAGTGCTTCAGTCAGCTCACAGGAAAGAAAGGTGAAGGAATCCAGCAGTGAAAAGTAAAGCTTAGCCCTGATGTGCCAATAATGGCCGGTATTCAAAAAGAGCTGGAATCCTTGTTCTGGCCACATGCAGAAGAAACAAAAAAGTGAGTTTTCAAACAACAAATTGTCATGACCGAGCATTTTTTGGTGATGGGGGGTATGAAAATTGCTGCTCTCTTTCAGAAGCTCGACTCCTCAGGCTCTGCATGTTAGTTGCTCTGGCAAGTCACTGGCTACACCCGGGTTCAATGTGGAGTTGAGTACATCAAATTAAAAATTACATTAATTTCTTTACACTTATATAGCGCTTTATTGGACACTTCACTCAAAGCACTTCCGGCCCCACCTGGTAAATGTGATGGTAATCAAAGTGCACCAGCAGGCTCAGTGGGGAGAAGAACAGAGGAATGAAGCCAAATCATAGATGAGGATTATTAGGAGGCCAGGATTGGACACCAGGATTAACATCCCTACTCCTTTCACCCTGGGATTTTCAATGACCACAGAGAGTCAAGACCTCGGTTTTACATCTCAACTGAAGGATGACGCTTTTTTACAGTGTAGTGTCGCCATCACTATACTGGGACATTAGGACCCACACAGACCTCAGGGTGAGACTCTCCTACTGACCCCTCTAATATCTTCCAGCAGCAACCTTAGCTTTCCCAGGAGGTCTCCCATCCAGGTACTGGTCAGGCTCACACCTGTGTAGCAACATTGGGATGCCAGTGCTTTCCAGCTTACGTCAGAGGAACAGCAACTAGAATGACTGGTGGTACAGGGATTATAAACACACCATGGCCAAGTATAGAGAGGCAGTAGGGAGTACCTGTGAGTAGATTCCTGGCACACCGTCAGGGCCCAGTGCAGCAGCTCCTCCTCACCCAGCATCTCTGAGCCCTTCTGCCAGGGCAGGATACTGGCCACACTGCGCAGGGACAGGGCGCGCAGAACCTGAGAGAGACAGATCACATATCCCTCAATGACCTGGCCTGGAAGCGTCTCATCAGTCCTGGATTAGCCCGAAGTTTATTCGTTCTGAAGAGAGACTAAAAACTCTTCACAGATACAGAAAAAAGAAGAATTACCAAAAAATGGTAAAGAAAAATTAAACCCACTTATTGTTTTTGGAAGGTACCCTTTGCAATGTGTGAGACACATTTTGAAGAGGCTATCTTCTGTGCCTTGTTTTTGTGTTAGCAATTATTAAAACCATAGGAGCATTTTTAAAAGAATAAAAAAACAAAGTGATATGTGGCACAGATGCTGTTAGCCAATAATCTTTACCTTTCTCAGTCTGTCTGAAACTTAAAATATCTAGATTAAATGTCAAAAATAAGTGCAATTGCCTTTACTATGAACCAAGGCTGTACCTGCAGACTGAAGTTTTCAAAGCCCTTACCAATCACGAAGAAAGGAACACAAATAAAAAAGGGTTGTTTTCACAGAAATATTCATTTTACGCACAATAAAAAAGGCTCAAATAGGTGTTTACATTGGTGCTGCATATTTTGATGACTATTATTTTTTTCAATGTGTGAACCTGTTATTAAATATTTGAAAACATCTCTTCATATGAAGTCTAAAGAACTGAAGTTTATTTAATAGGTCTTGCGGCTCTGTCTCCAACTGAATTTCAAACAAATATTACGATTCTACCACAGGAGCTGGCTTGCTGGATCTCACTTTCTGGAACAGCATTCAGGTTTTACAATCCCTTTAATATGCTTCTGACTCAGAGCAGAATGAGTCACGGAACTACAATGAAATATCCTTAAACATACAAACAAAAGTGTTTTGACTGACATAGCTGCACAGCTTCCTCATGAAGGAAAAGTCCCTTTCATGGCTACTTATGAACTCCAAGCTTAATGAAGAACCTGATGGTGTCATGATTCTAAGGAACAATCCTTTAGTTAGAAACTCGATTTCTTTGGCCCAGGTCACAAGCATTATTCACTTTTCTGAGAAATCATATAATTGTCTGTACAGAACTGCATCATTATATTGAAAACAACAATGAAAGAACACCTTCTTCCAACTTCCTGTAATCCTTCTGTTGCTTCCTCCCAAGTATAAAGTGCTATGCCATTAAACAAACGAAACCTATTACTTCTTAAAAGAGACAGACCATTAAATGATAGCACTGAGACACCTTTGTGAGTACTTTAGTACTAAACTTTTAACCTTTGTGGTTAAGTTTCTTGTGAAGAAGAAAGATTTTAATAAAACGAATAACTCCATGTCTTCCTGTTCCCCTGTTTACAACAATTTTTAATTCAAATGTCAACCGGATTAATCAGACCACAAAAGACTGGAAACACCAGATGATGAGATGAAATCAAACCAATGTGAAAATACTCAAATTGCTGTGTGATTATTTCAAAAACATTTGTGCCCTCTGTGAATAATTGGGACCCTTTCTTGTTAAGACCAAGAATTGAAGTCACTAGGTTAACACAACAGGTTGCAGTAGTCTGGAACAAACTATCTAGTCTTGTTTCTAAAAATAGATCATTGAAGAAATGGTTTGATGAGGACTTCAGATACACAATCTTATAGCAACCAAATGAACTGCTTGCACTTAAAGGCTTCCTGTTGCCTGTACCCCATTTCATGTTCTTATTTATTTTGTAACATGTTAGACATTGTAGTCTTGTTTTGCCAGGCCTTTCTTCAGAAAACTCCCAGGCTTGTTTCCACGTTAAAGATGTGACTGATTCAAGGATCAGAGCTTACCTTTCCCATGCACTGCGGGTGAGTCTCCTGCATGGCCAGATTGGTGAGAATGGTGGTAACTGTGGAGAGAGGGCAGGGGGCGGGGTGGCGATCTGACGGGCCTCTCTCAAGCTGCTGTAGGATAGCCTCCAGTGCCAGCAGTCGCACCTCGTACACCTGGCACTGCAACAGCTGTGCCAGGAGCTGAGGACCCTGAAACTCTGCTCCCCACAGCACAGGGTTCTCCAAGCTGGCACAAACCGCAATCCGTGCCAGGCTCAGAAGGTACTGTGTGCCACCCGCTACTGCTGTGGAGAACGAGTCAGGGTCGAAGAGCTCCGAGTCGGACACAATGACCAGTGTAGCCTCCCTAAGACCCGTCAGTTCCTCATCTGGAAGAGATAACAGCCCAGTCACATCATCGAAGCCTGCACCTGCTTTATTTATTCAGAAATTTCCATTACGCCTTCAGGGAGACATCTAGGAGACAGCGGAATTCTTGCTCAGAACTTTAGCAGATGGATTTCAGAATCAGGGACTAATTAAAAAAATAGCTAGAGACCAACTAAACCCATTTTTAAGACATGTCAGCAAAGATAAACACATGATATTTCAGTGAGTCAGGAAGGTGCAGTATCAGGTAACAGGTGTTGGGATGTATGACTTGGCAGCACATGATACTAATGAAGATATTCGTATCACATTAGTCAGTAAATGAACACGTTTCTGTACCGACATTCTGGTATAACCTCAGTGGAACCAGTCTGTTATATCCATCACAGAAGACATTTATCTTTCATCCTCTGAATCACTGTACTCTGGCAGATGCTTAACTAAAGAATCTGTAATGCGGAAAACTATAAACCTGGACCCCCTCACAGACATCTGGCATTGAACTATAGGTCTTCACACAGTCTGGCCAGACAGGAAGACTTAACAGTCTTTATAGCAGTCTGAAAACCCATGTTTAAAATTCTCTGAAAAATTAAAGGTAAAAACAACTATTGCTTCAGAATGAATATTGTTCCCTATAATAGCACAACAACCAGAAAATAAAAAGCCCCATACTGTGGTTTAGAACTACAGAACAATAACATATTAAAGAAAGTCTCCTTTGCGTTCAGGTATACAGAAAGCATTGTCCAACTTACTAGGTCAGCAGGTTCAATTTTACCCAATGACAATACAAGGCTGGTTTTCAAGGATGTCTCTCTGAAATGTAATTACCCTGTCCCCAAGCTGGTTATCAGTAATAAAATATCCCCTGATTCCAGGACCCTCTTTCACGGCCAACTCAATTTGTTTGACAAGTACTTTAGAAACCCTGCAATTTAATCACATCCCACACATAATTAACAAAAGAAAATACAGCTCTTGCCTGGTTAAGGAGTAGGTTACACAGGAATCTGATCTTCAAAGATTCTAGTACACACAATCAGTATTTTGGCTCTTTTATTTTTGGTTAATAATAACACAAAAAAGATTCCACTGGAATGTGTCATTCTGGGGTCAAAGAGACCTGGGGTTTTCAGTGTGGGAGCTCAAAGTGAAGCCAGATGGCTCTCACCTTTGTAATAACCCTGTTCCTCAACACTGTGGTTCAGTGTACTTTCGGCTGATAATTTTCTATAGCTTAGAAAGAGAGAGGCACAGTCCTACAAATATACTATTTCTTGTTTTTTTAATTTTTATTAAACTGTATCTGAATATCAACTTCAAATTCAAGAAAATCACTTAAAAAAAACTAAAGTACTTGTCATTTCTACATCTCATCTGAAGAAGGGTGCCTTTTTTTTTCACAGTTCAGTGTCCCTTTCCCTATACTGGGGAATTAGGACCCACACAGACCACAGGGAGAGCTCTCCCTACTGGTCCCACTAACACCTCTTCCAGCAGCAACATTAGCTTTCCCAGGAGGTCTCCCATCCAGGTACTGGCCAGGCTCACACCTGCTTAGCTCCAGTGTGCTGCCAGTTGTGAGTTACAGGGTAATAAAGATGCTGGCTATATTTGCAAGATATTATATGGATAATATTTTGATACTTAATGCTATTGCTTCATACATGAAGCTGAACTTCCAAAAATGAACACTTGGTCCACTTCATCACTCTAAGAAAAGGATGATTGTGAAACATTTGGGAAGAGCTGAGGAAAAACCCGACTAACCTACAGCTGGAAAAGAAGATGGTTCAGCACAAAAACACACTGCTCCAGGGTGACACCATTCCAGCAAAAGCCATGCCTCCTCCTATTGGCCCTGCCCAATAGAATTTCTCCTGTTCTTCACAGCGAATCCCAGCCAGCCTGTGGATTTTGCCCAGGCTTAGATTATATAATGCCAGTGGCAGCTAAAACCGACCAGCAAACCAGGATTTAATGGCCTTTTGGAGTGATCCTATTCCAGTGTTCCAGGCCATGTCTGTAAAGACTAGGTGCCTATTATGTCTCTCTTTTGGAACAGAAGAATAACGCAGATTTTCTTTCACAACCCCACACCACAGTGCCAGCTGAACCCCTGTGAATATTATCTGGAGGCAGACTCTTGCGGTTCGCTCTCAGGAAAGCGAGAACCCTCACCCTTTCATATGTCCACAAGAGGAGGAAGAGGAAGAAAAGCAAAGCTAAGCTGACCGAAACTACCGGGACTGAAATCAAGTCAAACAGCAAGAAACCAAACCCTCCTCGTTTCAAGCCTGTCCAAAGTTTCATTACCTCAGTTTTGAGGGAAAAAATAATAATCATTAGGAAAGTGTTATGTTGTTTATATAATAGCTTTTATTAAAATAACTATTATAAAGAAACCAAGAGGACCTAGAGGAACCATGCCACACTAATGATTCATTTAGGAAATGAAAACATTTCTCGAGAGAAAAATGCAGAGGCAATGGGGCATGACAGCAGTAACAAGCCCTAAAAATGCATGTCATTTTAATTATGAGAACCGTTTTTAATAAAAACACAGAGGCAGTGTGCTAAAAGAACATGGAGTAATTAAACTTTAACTGGCAGACGTACAGGCTCTCTAGTACAACTCTGCAGTCTGAACAAACTTGTTCCTCGCCTCAAGCCACACCGCTGTTGAAATCTACATTACAAAAATACAATGCTTTGAAAACCTGCACCAACTTGTTCTAAAGACTCGGTTCCAAGAAATATCTCCAGGTAAGCTAAGAGTACTGAGGTCAATGTGTAATCCTAGGTGGGGGATTACTATGGAAGTGCATTTAAGCAGTTCAATATAAAGCCGTGCAAGACCACACCCAAAAATAGTAAGGCGCTAAAGCCTAGACAAAGAACAAAAATAAAAAAATAGCTAAATTACTCTAAAATAAATCACTAAAAAAGGTAATCTACCATTGACAAGCAGTCCTTACATTGTCCCAAGGGGTACTCCTTTTGTTGACATAAAAATGACTGGTGTAAATATTACCCACAATTCATGTTCATTTTGTCTGAATATGCCTGATGCATATCATCAAATAAATACTTTGAATTCTTATTGTAAACCCTCTAAAATGTCACTTTGCATGTTTTCATGAATATCACTTAATCACGTTTTTGCACTCTTTTACTTCCTCCTTAATAGAAATGGAAGGAGAGGGTAAAAGAAAAATCTTTAAGCCTGGCAAAAGCTTTTGGTGCAATAAAGATGTTTCCTGCTGAAGCTGCAGAGGGGTGTCTGGATGGGCAGTGACTGTAAGAACAAAGCATTTTTAAGAGCAGTACAGTTTAACTGGCTCTGTCCACAAGACAGCCCTGTTACTGCTATTACAGCACTCTTCCAGCACAGGCTGTCTGCTCGCAGAAACCTCTTCAACAGGTATTAGCTGAAAAGTCCGTTATCAATAAAAGCCAGTGCTTCCAATTGAGTGGAACACACAAGCAATAAGAATATATTTTTATAAAAAGCTTGTTAGGCATGGAAATAGCCTCCATACAAAGTAAACAACCCTGCAAAAAAACCTACATTTTCTATGTAGTTTTAACCTTTTCAAGCTGAGGGACTCCCATATCAAGAAATCTCCCATCATGGACACCCCCTATAAAATACAACCAAAGTGAATAAATATATATTTACTTTTATTACTATTAAAGTAATAATTTCCTGCAATTTCCCTCATGGGATCAATAAAGTATCTATCTATCTATTACAAATAATCAAAGGCTTGTCAGCAGTCAGAGCAGATCAACTGAATCAAGCTGACACAGAAAGAGACTTTGCATGAAAAGGTTTCTTTTTGTTCCCAGGGACCTACCCCAGATAGTATATGAGGGTCCTTTTTTCAGACTGAAAAGTCCTGAAAGAGCCCATGTTTTCTCACACATGACCCAGGTATAGTACAGTATATGCAGGTCAGCCCTAAAGAACAACTTGCAGTGGAGGCTCCCTCCATCAATAATTTTGTATGAGGCCTCTCCCACTGCCCTACCTGCAGGACAGACTAGTCCCAGACATGCTCAGTTTCTGATGGTACTCCACTGTGTAAAGGTTCAGTGAATGAATTAACACTGGTATCTCTGAGCGCAGCAGGGAATGGAAAAGAGCTACAGGCTTCACTAGTAAAAAACACACTCCACTGAGCTCCAGTCCCTGCCTCCGCCACTGCTGTTTATTATTCACCTCCCAGTAAATTACAGTGGCTTGTAGATCACAGACGCGCACACACAAGCCAGGATGCTGGGTTTTAAATCATGCTGTACTATCATTAGCGAAACTGTGAAAAACAAAACACAGACTACAGTATGTCTTCCAGATGTGCGCTGCACTGGGCTGAAATAAAAAAACCTTCTTCCCATGGTGGACTCTTACTACCTGCCAAGCTGTCTGAATCATCTTTGGAGCCTAGACTCTGGGATATGGGCAAGCTAACTTTCTTATGGTGAAAGCATAGCAAACTGTATTGAATCCCAGTAAAATCTGTGTGAGAAATGAAGTATTTTAGAGGTGAACAGTACAGCATGGTAAAAGGACAACTCCAAGGTAAAGCTCTGTACACATAAGGTTGCAAAATTATTATAGATCTTTCTAACTCAATGAGTTTCTTTTGATATATTGCACCCTAGTGGGGGCATCTGCATCTCCCCATTGTGTGGAGAATTTAAAAGTCATCTTTGGTCCTGCTTATACCCTGAAACCCTCTGGGCTGACTCCAGCAACAGTTTAACTTGCATTAATTCAACTACTTATGAGGGTAAGGTAAAGGGCCAGGATTAAAAGCATATTCAAGTTTCTAACAACTTACTGGAATCATGCCACGTTGTGCTATGCTAACAGCATGCTCTCTGACTCCATTATGAAAGCAGAGACTAGATAGCTCAAAGATCTGAAATATAACTGTACCCCCAGATTCAAAACTCAGGGCAGGCTTTTATCTCATAGGTCTAAGCAAACTGGATTCTTTTTTCAAATTATTTAGTGAAAGCAAATTTTGCCATAAAAAAGCAGTTGAGTTTATGTTCTCTTCAGGGTTCAAAGAGCACACAAGTCTGAATAGACAGGCTCCAGGGAAAAGACTTATGCTGAACAAAAGTTAGATATTAAAACTATTACGTGCATATTAAAAAAAATAATGTGAAAGAAAAAACTGCGGCATAACTGAACGGCCATCTAGATTAAATCCAAAATGACTTAAAAATGAGCTGCTGTTTTTACTGGCACAGGATAGGCTGCTGGGGAACAGGAATTTATGAGTTCTGATCAAACAGTATAGCTCTGCAGAAAACATATGGAGTCTACTCCTGGGATCCATGCAACTTGGTATGAGAATGTCAGCAGGAACTGAGCAATAAATTTTAAGTTCCTACTTAGCGTATCATGCCAGTAAAATTTTAAATAGTGGATTGTTCATTTGATCGGCCTGCATCTCTGGCATTTATGGTTACAGTTCTTACCGGTAAAACAGCTCCCCTTTAAAGCCCAGCAACAAAACCTTGCAGTTTAATTTTCAGTTTTCCTCTAAGTGCACATGAAAAAGAAGAGCAGTTTAACTAACAACTTTAATAGCACAATTGCATATGCTCCAGACAAATATCAGCTCATTCAAAACTTGTGAATGCAGGCTTGTTTAAAGTGTTTCCATCACATGGCCATATGTTCTGCACATGTAATAAAAGCATTTTAAACTAGGGTCAAAAGGATAATCATATAATGTGATACAATAGGTCTTGGTTTTGTGTTCTTATTTTTATGTTTCTAAGAATTTCAGTTACAAGACAAAAAAACAAGAATATTTCTACACAACAGTTTCTTTTACACATAAAAACTCAATATCAGAAATACTGGAGTCAAGTCTACCTATCAGGAAACAGAATTGCATAAACCTCCCACCTCATACCCATCCTATTTCAACATTAAAACAAATAAAAATAAGACTTCACATTACAAGAATAAACCAACCACTTTTACCACGAGACTCACATTTCCGGTATCTTTTCAGTTGTGTAAGTCATTAAGGATTACAAAAGCAAGCAGTTCCTCAAGACAGCTTGTGACTCTTTGAAATATAGTAACAGTGAAAAAGGAATAAATCCAGCTGGTCTGAGGGAAAGGACTTAAATGGAAGCAGTGTGCCCGGATAATTCTTTCCCCTTTTCTTTTCCTAACTACCAATTGACTAATTATCAATTGGTAGTTAACAGGTCAGATCACTTTCTCTCATTTGTAACCTTATGACCTAATGTTCTATAGTCATCCCTGTCATCCACATGTAATTTACAGTAGGTGCCCAGTTCTTTATTCTTCATCGTATACTCCTCCCAGGCCCACCTTCCAGCCTCACCCCTCCCTCTCTCCCTAATACCAGGCATGGAACACCTACCATCGACTGGGCCCCACTCCGGTCCACACAAGCAGGCCAAGACATCCAGGAAAGCTGCTCGGGTCACTACACAGGGGTTCTGCCTGTAGAAAACGAGCAGGGGGGGGGAGGAAAGGATGGGAATTTATACGACGAGGAAATTAAGCAGCAAGAATTGCCCCTCACCCCCAAAACGGCCCTACTTACTGTTTCTCTGGGTTTTGTGAAACCCACCTAAACTGGTCTGAATTTTTACATTTTAGACCTAAAATGTAATAAGATCTTCATGAATAGTCTTAAAAAAGAAAATAACCTGACTAAATATATAATATAAAAATATAAAATTGATTTAAATGATCCAATAGTGGGCAGCATGGTGGCACAGTGGCTAGTGTTACTGCCGCGCAGTGCTGGGGTCCCGGGTTCAATTCATGGGGTGCTATCTTTTGTATGTTCTGCCCATGTTCAGATGTGTTTCTTCCCACAGTCCCTGTATTTGATATGGAAGTAGAAGGATGGATGATCAAACAGTTAGTATCGTTGTGGGAAAAAATCTGTGGACCTTTAGATTCATTAAAAGGTGGCACCTCCTTAAGAAGCAATGCCTTCATCTTGGTTTCTTGTATATATTTGTCAAGACTCTCACATCAGCTTTTATGTATTTTGTCCCCTTCTTCTTTACAAAATTGCTTCAAGTTGGTTTCCATAAACAGTTCCCTTCAGGTTCCATCATAACATTTCAAAAGGGTTTAGGTCTAGATTTTGACTTTGACAATCCAAAATGTGAAATTGCTTCTTCAGCCTTTTGTAGATCAGACCATGTTTAGGATCACTGTCTTGCTGTGTGACTGACGTTTGGCTCAACCTCAGCTGATGAAAGGTTAGCCTGGCATTCTCCTGCAGAATTTGCTGATCACACATTCCTGGTTCCATCAATGATGGCAAACTTTCCAGATAAGGAGGCAGCAAACAGCCCCAAACCATGAAACTCCTACCATCATGCTTGACATTCTGGTTTGAAAGACTCTTCTGTTGGAAGACAGAGGACAAATGTTTTGTGTGGCAAAAATCAACATTGTGGCCAAAAAGTTCCAATTGTTTAGGAAAGTCTAGAAACCTTTTTCTAGTCTTGTATTTCGGATTATCCAGAATGACAATGTTCTTTGAGCGATGCTTCATCCTGGCTGTCCTCCATGAAAACTATGGCTTTTCAGACTGCTTCTATTGGTTGATGCACGAACACTTACATTGGCTGCAGCAGAAGTCTAAAAATCTTTAGATGTTCTCTGGATTTGTCTCTGACTTCATGAATGATTTTCCATGTTGCTTTTGGGAGATCTTGGCAAGATGACCAATCCTGGGTAGAGTCATTGTGGTCGGATTAACAATGGATGGATTGAGCCCCAAATGTTTAGAAATGGTTTTGTAACTCTATCAAGACTGTTGAGCATCAGCTACTCTTTTTCTGAAATTGTGGGATTCAATTCAATTCAAAATTCTTTATTTATCCCCAGGGGGGCATGATATATTTCCACTGACCTGTATGGTGAAGACCAAACTCGCAAAGTTTCTGACCATTATATAGAACAGTGCTGCACAAACTCAGTCTTTGCTTACTTGTTACCAAATTATTTAACCACATGATTCTAATTTCCCCCTTAATTGCATTAAGTAAACTAGGGGTTTATTTATTATTATTATTATTATTATTATTACTGGTAAACAATACAATCCTTTAAGTTATTTAAAGAAAGACCGGTTTTGATTAAAAAAGGTTTCATGGTGAGAAATTAAAATTCCCACAATTTTTTTAGAGATTCACACTACTTAACATCTGCAGGCATTGATAAAAAACATTTACTCTACTATACAAGGGAGCATGTCCATGGCAGAAAAGGGAATTGTATTTTTAAGAAATAAGACGATGAGTGGCCACATAAGATGAAAAAGATTTTCATGGGAATTCTGAGTACCTCGTTACAAACCATGACGACGCTGAAGATATCCCAAGATAAATAATAGAAGCTATAAGATATACATCTTAAGGATCCATAAAAATACTGCAAGGAAAAAGGTTTTAAACTACATGTATAACTAAAAGAGATGCGTAGGACTAAGTGGGTTAATATAAATTTTTCACAAAAAAGGCAGAAACTAGGACAGCTACAGCTATTTCAGCTGTTCCAAATTTTTTTTAGAAACAGCAAGCCACATAAGAAATATTGCACTCTGTAGAAAGACGTCTTTCTCAGCTTCTACGAGTCTTCAGCACATTTACAGGGAGAAAGCAGTTCTGTGTGGTAGTTTGTTTCAGATGTGAGAGGCTGCACACAAAACACAGATAGCAGCATCTTGGCAAAGTATTCTCCTCATCAGCCTCTTCACAGACACTTATTGGAGGAATGAGCTTCAGGACACTGTCTGTTAAGATGCTTATTTCTACCATCAGTACAATGGGCATCACCCTGTGAGAAGAGGTGAATGACGTAAAATGCATGTTTCACAGGACGCATGTGCTATCTTCATGTCTACCCAAGCAAGAGCTGGGGAATGTGGCAACACAGATCAGCAAGCGAAGGCTCCATACTGAAATGCTTAAAAAGAAAAAAAAAGAATTGGCTGGTCTGAAATAGAAAAGCAAAATACACATAACAACGAAAAAAAAAATTCCAAGAAGCTCTTCTCCGTGGAAAAACAAAGTTTTCCTCCTTGATTTGCCTAAAACCTTCGCTAAGAAAAGCAGAATTTAAACATTCTGAAAATAAGTGTGAAACCTGATGGCTTTGCCGATGTCCTCTGATGAAGAATGAACAAATTGTATTTTCAGACATGCTGCTCAGAGAACAGCTGGAGTGGTCATGCAGAACCCACTGACAATTCAATGTATAGTAAGGACTAGCTTCATTTTTTCCCCGTCTCCAACATACTAAAATTTATTCCCCAGTAAAGCTGACGAATGAATCCTCCAGGCACTCCTAGGGGTTGCACACCAAGTGCCTTTGGACTCAGTGATAACACAGAGTGTGGGATCCAAGAACAATATGCTTCAGAGCCAAAGGCTACAGGGAACACATGACAGATATTTCCACAGGCTCTTATTAAAAGCCTACAAAAGCAAGATTTAGAAGCACTCCATTTCTAGAAAATGCCTTTATAACAATAATAAAATAAAATAAAGAAAATCAGATAGCAAAAGGAAAGGCCAATTCTACCCAAAGTCCTCCTGGCATTGGTGCTAGGGATGAACCGGACGCTAGCGGTCTTTGATCTACAATTCCCGTGTCAAAATCTCGGCATGACAACTCAGCAAGTTTATTTCCAAGATGTTCACACCAGACCTGGGCTTTCCACCTTTTTTCAGCTGAGGACAACTCCCCCCTGCACTGTGTCCCTGCCTCAGTTATGGCTATAATCCATTTGTCTGCAATGGGCATGGAACAATTCCAAACGGATTACAGACCCCTCGCAGCCCCTTCATGTGCACTCCTGCTTTCTGACAGACTCCTACAGCATTGCAGAAAATACCTGTGAGAACTAATTACAAAAGCAGGAATCAAATCTGGCACATCAGCAAGAGCAGATTCTTTTATCATTTCATTTAGCCAATTTCCTGATTCTAAACCTATTTATCACGCTGTATTAAGCCAATACAGACCAGAGGTAGTAGAATTCTGAAAGAGGATATTCTTTGCTTTGGAGGTATGTGGTGCCCTGGCCCTAAAAGTGTCAAGATGGGCTACTCTAAATAATTACGTTCCAATAAGATGAAAAGGGTTCTAACCTATTGACAACCACAGAAAATGAAATTGCTTCCTTGTTTCTTTTCAAAGGTTAAATTAAGTGCATTCTAAGCTATCGATAGCTATATGAAATTATATTAGTTTCTCATTACTTTTGAATGTTTTAATCCGGATTCCATTAACAACATAATTTGCTCCTATACAAGAACTCGGATTATGGTAACGTTATTGCAAAGACATTTTGAGTTACTACTATCATATAGAGGTCCAGGTCAGTTCCACTCATCGCTGAAGGAATGTTCAAAGCATCTGACACGGTAGGATTACAAACAAGAATAGTCCATTTGGCCCATCTGACCTGTTTGGTAGATAGTAGCAAGATTTGTTTCAGCTGTTTCTTGAAGGAAGCCAGGCTATCGTCTTCAAGAACCTGGCTGGGTTGCTTGGTTTTACATACATATAGATGTAGTGTCCACTAATTTAAACTCTGCTTCATGTTTCACAGTTCGTTCAGTGTGCTGACGTTATAACACCCACACAAAACATAGGCATAAGGGTCAAGAGAGGTTTGGACTGTATCTGCTAAACCTTGCATAGCACACCACTGTTGCTGATGTTTGAGAGTTTATGAAAACACGAAATGGCATCTGTGACTTCAATGAAGGTAATTAGGCTGATTACATTTCATGACTTTAAATGAACAGGACAGACTGTGTGTAAATGAGAGCTACAAAGAGATCAGCTTTTCTTTGGAGTTGCTGCACAAAGTATCTAAAACTCTTCAGAGCTTCTTGTTGATCTAATAAGTAAGCAATGCACAAAGATTCAGATCCAGCCAGACCGAATGTCTTCAGAGCTGCGCCCATGAAATCATTTTGAACACTACATTGTTATTAATCTTTTAATTATCCCCTTGTTTGGATACTAGAACATGTTGCACTGCAACTCAAAATAAGGAAATGACAGGCTGAGTAAGGGTAAGAGAATTTTAATGGCATTAGCAAAATGAATGATGTCAAAATAATATTTCAAGACCTTTCAGCCTGTACTTTAAATGACACTGCCTTTGAAATAAAAGCCTTCCTGGAGGTCAGAAGCCAAGCGGCTGTTACAAACGGGCCTTTTCTCCTCAACAGCTAATGGATTTTGGGAGTGAGAAGTATTGTAAATAAAACCCTGCTCTTTAAACTGCACACAAGCCAAACCCAATCAAGATTTGCACAACTATGAGCTGGGAGCCCCAGAACACACGATAGTGCCCACACCAAAAGAAAATATTTTAGTAAATGGGTCATACATCTTAAAAAATATGGTTTCACAACACATAAGGTGGTCCTTCATTTTTGCATGCATATGTAAAGTCAGAAGTACTGTGTCTTTCTTCCCAGCACGATGACTTCAATTTCAAATAAAACTTCCATATAATAAAGAGAAGTCCCGGGGAGGGTAATATAGTTTAGTTTGTTTACAGTCCAATAAGGAAAGCTTATAACTCTGGAGGGGTGTTTTCTGAGCTGAGCAGGGGTAGTGTACACACAGAGCTGCGGACATACCTCCTCGCCAGCCACAGCCTGGCACGCACCGCAGCGATGATGTCATGGGTCTGAGGGAGCCGCAGTGAATGGGGCCTGTGTCTGTCCTCCTGGTAGGAGCGCAGCAAGTGAAGGACCTGAGGAAGGGACAGACAAACGACAGGCGCTGTTGAAAAAATATTAGTTCAATACCCCCCCCCCCTCCCTTGGTCAGGTTTACCTTCCTGTTAAGATTCTGCCCTGGGGGGTGAAGGTCGACACCTGTGGCAAAAGTCCTGAAAAAAGGGTCTTTTCTCTCTCGGTTTCCATTTCTCCTTACCAGGGCCCAGCGAGACTGCCCTTCTCAATGCCAGGCACACAGATAGAAATATGTGAGACTAGCTAAACTGAGAAAAAAAATCACCATTCTGATACAGCAAACACTCACCCATATTACCATATTATCATATTCCTATGGACTACTCATATACATAACACAGCTGCCAGTATGTATAAAAAACAAAAAGATCAAATGCTTTTTTCTTTATTAAACCTACTCTATATCATGATTAAAAATGCCAGTGATTTACTGGGCCCTCCCTGTTTTTTTTACTGCCGCATGAAGGCTACGCATATCGGCGGAGTGGTGGCTCTGTGGATAAGGGTCTGCGCGAGGGGCTGAAAGGTTGTCGATTCGTATCCCACGGCCGGCAGAGGAATCGTACTCCGTTGGGCTCCTTAGCAAGGCCCTTAACTCCAACTGCTCCAGGGGTGCCGTATAAATGGCTGGCCCTGCGTTCTGACCCCAAGCTTCTCTCGCTGTCTGTGTCTCATGGAGAGCAAGCTGGGGTATGTGAAAAGACAAATTGCTAATACAGGAAATTGTATATGGCCAATAAAGTGATCTTATCTTATGTATACTCTTTCTTGCCTTAATTACACTACATTAGACAATGACGGGGGTGGCTCTGTAAACCTTGCCCATACAGCCTCCCTGCCAGTGCTGCCCATAGTGCCAGGTGTTTTTGTCATGTATACTCCAGCGCTGCAGGAATCTGCCTCTGGGAGCCCGGTAAAGACAGGATGTGTGAACAGAGTGATGATGTTCCAAAGAGCAAAGCCTCTTCTACTGCAAACAGAAACACCCAAACAAGGACTCGGAGTGAGACTTTGCTCCCAGGAGCCAGCAGTGAGTTAGAGTTATTTTTAAAGGTGTAGCAGCCCACACAGCTTCAACAAGAAAAATAGCTCTAACACTGGGTCGCTCCACAGCAAGCTTCTCTCTGTGTAACAATTTATTTTCAAGCACAGGAATCGGATAAGTAAAATTACGATCTTACAAGGAGTCAAGATTTAGTAATATACCAGTCGAGCAAAACTGTGAGCAGAAAAAGTTACATTGAGATATATTCATTTAAGTAGCTCAGTGTGCATTTCCATAAGTAGTTTGTTAATTCTTGTAATGCAAAGATTTCAGTGGTTTAACATTATGTACAATAGATGCTTTCCTGTTTAAACACAGCATCCTCAGAAAGAGGTAAAAAATAGTTCTTTGACACTCCTGGGGTGATGTAATCCCATCAGCTCTTGCTTTCTGCTCAGTTAATCATTTCATGACTCTGAGAAACATCCTTATGCAGAAAACTGAAGAGCTTTCTCTCCAGAAAAGGTTACAAAGCAATCCCAGTGAGGATTAGAGGCTGAAATCTGGAGAACAGTGAGTGAAATCCAAAAAACTAGGCAGAAGTAACAGGCCATGAATGGAGAATTAGGGATGATCTACACATGACAAAAAAACAGTAACAGAGAGGACCATTTGAGGAATTTAACTGTTTTGCTAAGGAATACCCATTAGTTCTGACTAATATTCACCAGATTGTAGAGAAATTGATGTGCTTTAATAAATACAGCAGCCATGTCCAAGTATGGCAGTGGCCTGTTATTGGAAGAGCACCAAGCATCACTCAAAACGTGTGTTTTGGAAGTGTCATCAGTGTCTTTGGACAGGCCTGAAACTGATTTAACAGTCTGTGTCAGAAGTTCACCTACACTTAGGCTGCATGACACCTTCAGCTTAAAAGATGAATTGGTTACTGGTATTTTAAAAAAATCATCATATTACTTTTTTTCTGTCCTATGAAAACAAACATTAGTCTGTCCATAGGAAGTCGGTGAAACCTTGTAGTTCCATTTCAACAGCCTTGAGCCAACCTGTACAGCACACTCGACTGCTCCTGCTTCACAAACAAGAACACCTCCTTTTTCTCCCCCTCTTTCGTCTTGCTGGTGGTGTTGGTTCTGCCTCCTCTGCGCTCGTTTTTTCCGCCGTGTGCCTGTTTACAGAGGGCTGCACTTGGGCAGCGCGGCCGTGTGTATTTTCTCTGCAGTGGGAATATACAGTACAGGACGGTGATGTCAGGGAGATGTTTTCTCAGGGCCAGTGATCTGAACAGACCCGTGTTGTTTCAGCCTCTCTGTGAGGAATGTGAATATTTATAGTGGACCAATAATTTATACAAACAGAACTGGGGGCAAGATAGCCCAAACTATTTACGACTCACAGTGCCAGCCCAATATAAATTCTGGATTGTCGGCGTTAGAAGGGCGGAGGATAATGAAATATACATTATACTTGGGTCAAACATAATTTTTCAATGAGTTCATGGGTCCCAGGGAGTCCAACTCTCATGGATAAGCTGGTCCTGCAGAGGACTGCAGATTCTACCTGAGTCCAATTTATGGCTCTGCCACCTAAGTCTGAAACTGAAGAAGGTCCATAAACAAAGAATTTCATTTCTGTAATAAATGATTTTAGTTTCAGAAATGTCAAAAATGAAAACAAACAGGACCCCGCAAAGAAAAAAAAATCAAGACTGATCTACAAAGACACCACAAGAAAAAAAGCTTGCTTCAAACTTTCCTCGGTTCTGCCTGCATCACTGCAAAATGGTACACTCCCTGCATCAGTGTCTCTGGTTTAGAGAAGGCTGCGGATAATTTTTTTTAATGCAAATAAAAACAGGAAAGATGCAGCTCTCAGAAAAAAGGAGACCTTATCTATTCTCACAGGTCCTTAAGGTGGAAAACTAAAAAGAGGACATGCTGCAGCTGTAACTACAAGCCCTTGCCTGTTCATTACTGCAATTTTCTGTGTTGTGGCTCAAGAAGGATCTCCACCTATCCTGCAGTGCCTCCTCCTGGCCAAGTGAAGCAATCGCTGCTATCCTTCACATTCCATAGTGCCCTTATTTTGGTGCAGGTCTAGGAAATGGCCAGATGTGTGATAATCCTCCAGCCAATTTAGGAACTGCAGCGTATCCATCTCCTAGGACCACAGCAACATAAAGCAGTACAGGAACTCTGTCTGATCTGATTTAACAGCCATTTTCTTCTCTGCGCAACCACGAAGCAGCAAAACGCATTTAATTGTGGAAACATTTTTCAATCTCCCGGTTTTGCGCAAACAAGCATGAAGTTCTGGATAATTAAGCAAAAACGGTGACACAGAGAAAGACCATTCAACAGTCTGACACAGGGGGAGGGAGAAAGCCGGTATGTGCTACACTAGCCATGTCCACTGCCAGTAAGCCCCAACTGATGATTATTTGAATGACGCAGCAGAATGAGTAGCCTTTCTGCTGAGCGCACGAGCACAGTCCCCAGTAGAATCTGCCGACGCAAATCAAACAGGCTTTTAATTGCTGCTCTTCCCAACTGCTCAGCAGTGAGCACGCTCCCAGAGACCAACGCATTTTTTAGCAATTAAGTTGTATAAACTTGTGGCCAGGTCACCTCACACTTGTGGCTGGAAAGCAATTAAAAAGTTAAAAATAGCTCCCACCAAAACATGCTAACTCCTTGTTATCACGCAAAGCTTATTCCCCCCTCCAGCTCTTTCAAGTAGGGAGGGGAAAAGAGACAGACAGACAGAGGCCTGCGAACACAGATGGGACTAGGTAAGGACTGAGATAACTGAGCTCCAAAGTTATACATTCATGAAAGAAAGAAGAAGAAAGAGGAGAGCTATAGTGTTTCTACCTTGAGCCTCGAACCCACCTTGTGCTTTGGAACAAGCCCACGCCAAATCCAGGCAGCTTGCTGTAGTAATTAGGTCTGTGCATCTGCAATCACTGTGGGACTCCAAGTAAACCAGAAGAAATGCTAATGAGGCAGTGACATACTGTGAGCAGAGAAAAGCAATGTGTGCTGAGGGCTCAAACAGACAAGCTTTATTTTTGCTGCACCTCTCGTGTCAAGGCAAGGGAACTGTACTTGTAGAAAGCACAATACGTAGAAAAGCACTGTCAGTGTTCATGAGAGCAGTCCCTGTCCTTTATATTGCTGAGCTTTCAGGTTTCTTTTCTCTTCAGCCAGAACTAGTGAAACTGGAAAATGACTTATGAGCGTTTTGTGACGAGGTTGCTGTTTGAGCAGTACTGACAAGGTCTTGGTGTCAGAAATACACCAAGGTTGGCTGTACCGTACTTGCGCCTAGGCCCTCAGCAGCTTAGGGTGATAGAGAGGTCACCTTGACAGTGAGCTGCCCCCTCACACGCCCCTGTGCATGGAGGACGGCACTCCCAGCCTGTCTCTCACCGCAGGCGCACTGTGCTGAAGTGTCACTAGAGCTCTGAATGCAAGGCTTCAGATCAAAGCGGCCCCCTATCTCAGTACACATAGCAGAGCTATCAGCATGTATCCCAGGCAGACACCTTCTCTCTGCAGGGCACAGTGTGCTTGGCCCACAGCCTGGTGGGAAATGTACATGGAGCCAGCACAGCACTATTCCACACACTTCATTAAGTCAAAGCTTCTTATCCCCATCTACATACCTGCCATACTCTGGGTTAAACAGATTTCTTAGAAACACTGGTAAATCTAAACACTAACTGCCTGCTTTTATCTGCTTTTCAAGTCCACCGGTTGCAGTACTTTCATAGTATAAATAAAACTCAGTATAAAAGATAAAAGGGAAACAGGTTTTAATGACAGCAGGTTTATAAAACGACAAACAAGCCCTTTGTGTGAAAAATGGCACCCTCTCAAACTCCAGGGGGTGCTTGTTACTTCCAGGCCTGGGTATGAAAACCAACACCATCGATAGCAACTATAGTTCCTCAATCACTAAAAAAAAAACTTACCCTGCCAATAACATCTA